TCTGATCTGCTATTAACATATTAAATTGCTCCCTAAGCACAGTTATAGATACTTTTAAATTATTATCCAGTGGATTTGAAATAAAAGCCTTTTCTTTTAATTTAATCTCATCCTCTAACTCTTTTCGTTTTTGCATCTGTTTACGCCTATAAACATTGTTCATATAAATCAAAATGCCTCTCATATACGCTTTACTAGCGTCCCAAACCATTGAAATCGAAGTATCTTTATGCATGTTCAACAAAAAAAATTCTTTCAATTGGTCTCTACATTTCTGCAAGTTTGTATCATATCTAAATAAGTTTTCATTCAGTCTCCAAGTTCTTCTATTCTCCTCTTCAGCAAATAATTCCATCCATACAGGACTATGATCTGACAATGTCCTAGGAAAGATCTTAATATTCTTCACCCTAGAAAAGAAATCATTAGTAATTAAAAAAAAATCAATTCTAGAATAAGATTGATGCCTATCTGAAAAAAAAGTGAAATCTCTTTCTTCCATGTTTCGTTCTCGCCAAATGACTTTTAATTCCACTTCATCCTTCAAATCAAAAAAGGTTTTAGGCAGTATAGAACTAAAAGCTTTACAGGAACCTTTCTTGTCTCTTCGTGAATCTAAAACTCCATTCCAGTCTCCCATCATAATAACTGATTTGTAATCCAGTTGATTTAATTTCCGATGTAGCAATTTATAAAACTGTTTCTGTTGTTGATTTGGGGCATATAATCCAATAATAAGACATTTCTTTCCATTCAATAATATTTCAATAAAAACATATCTTCCTTCTGGATCAAAATCAATTAATTTGGGCAAAAACTCTTTCCTCACATAAATAACTACCCCGCCTCTTTTCTGCGGCACAGATGCCAGCCACTATGGCCAAGGCTTCTCTGTCAATCTGGGCGTAATTACGCTCTGCAGATGACAGAGTCTTTGAGTAGTAGGCCACAGGGACTTGTGTCCCATCAGCCTTCAGGTGACTGAGTACTGCTCCCACACCATAAGGGGATGCATCACATGTGATGCACACTGGCAATTGCTCATTGAAATGCGCTAAAACCGCATTTGAAGAGAGCAAGGCCTTAACCTCATTGAAACTCCTTTCATGGACCTTAGTCCACTGCCATGGAGCCTGTTTATCCAAGAGCTGGTGTAACAGTTCAGCCACTGCAGCCTTGTGGGGAAGAAATGCGTGATAGAAATTTAAGAGTCCCAGGAAAGCCTGAAGTTTGCTTTTGGACTTGGGACTTGGGGCCTGCTGAATTGCTTGAAGCTTGGATTCAGCAGGATGGATGCCTTGAGCATCAATTCTGAAGCCTAAGAATTCAGTGGAAGTGACTCCGATTTTACATTTATCTTGCTTCAGTTTCAGACCCGCTTGGCGGAAACGAAGCAAGACAGCCCTTAATCTTTCAGCTAAGTTTAAAGATGACTCCCCAGCAATGAGGACGTCATCGAAGTAGGGACAGACCCCATGAATACCACGGAGTGTGCACTCCATTACACTTTGGAAGATGCCAGGGGCTACATTAACCCCAAACTGCAGTCTTTTGACCTTAAAGGCTCCCCTGTGCGTTACGATTGTTTGAGCCTCAGCAGTTGCCTCATCAACAGGTAACTGTTGGTAGGCCTGTGCCAAATCAAGTTTTGCAAAAATTGGCCCCACCTTGAGGGAGGCCAGAATGTGGCTTACCACAGGCACTGGATATGCATGCTGTTGCAGTGCTTTGTTCAATGTACATTTATAGTCCACGCAAATTCGGACTTCTCCATTAGCCTTTAGAGGTGTTACAATGGGGGTTTCCCATGGACTAGAGTCCACAGGTTCTAAGATGCCCTGCTGGAGCAGCTTGTCCAGCTCTGCATTGATTTTGCTTTTGAGAGCAAAAGGCACCCTTTTAGGCTTAATCCTAATAGGTGTGATAGCTGGGTCTAAGCGTAGGGCAATGGGAGGCCCCTTGTATGAACCAAGCTCTGTGCTAAACACATCAGCAAACTCCTTGCAGACTTCTGCAAGGCCTAACGTTTGCAGGCTGTGAAGCCCAGTAACTTGGATCCCAAGGGCCTCGAACCAATCGAGTCCAATGAGACTCGTGCGATCACCCCCAACTACCACCACATCTAGTAGGCCTTCAAAAGCCTTACGCTGCACTTTGAGCGTAGCCTCCCCCTTCACGCTGACTCTGGAATCCTGGAAGTCAGTGAGAATTAAGTTCGATGGCCTGAGTTTGACTCGAAGGCCACTACTGCTGCAAATCCTTTTGAAGGTGTCATGTGAAATGATCGATAGAGCGGACCCTGTGTCCAACTCCATTGATAAGGGAACCCGTTGCAACTTCACGTCAATGCAAAGCTTTTTCTTAAGGGGCTTGTGTGTCCCTGTCCTTAAAATGCTCCTGCATGACGCGCAGAAACCCACCCTGTGTTGGCTGGGGACCCTGGTACCTTTCTGAAAAAATTCTTCCCAAGGTTGAACCTTCTGATGACCCAAACAGACGGAGGCAATGTGGCCTTCCCTTCCACATGCCCGGCAAATGGCAGAGCAGAATCTGCAGTCAGCGCACTTGTGGCGTCCTCCACACCTGAAACACTGAGGAGATGCTGGGGCCTTGTCTGGACACGCCTTCAGCCTTCTCTCTGCTGGCTGGTGCAGCCTGTCCACCTCCTCTTCAGGATCCTGTTCTGGATCTTCTCGAGCAACCTCTTGATGGACGGTCACGGTGGCTGGAGGATTTCTGGCGAGCCGCAAAGCCTTCACAGCGCCGCCTGCTGCTTCTTCAGCTGCAACCTCTCTCAAGGCATCTTGGAACGAAACATCTTCCTTGGCAAAGATCTTCTGCTGTAGCTCACGACTCCTTAGGTCACAAACGAAACAATCCCGCAGCCTCTCTTCCAGGTCCTTGAATTCACAAGGCCTCACTGCTTGCCTTAAGGCAGCAATAAAGTCCGCAGCAGACTCACCAGGCCTCTGGTCCCTCTGCTCGAATGCGTGTCGCCAAGCAATCACAGAAAGTTTGGGTTGGAAATGTTCTTTCAGCATGTTCTTCAAATCTGCATAAGTCACTGACTCCAAAAGCGCTGGTGCCACCAGATTTTCTGCTATGTCAAATGTTTCTTGTCCACAAACACACAGCAGAGTGGCCGCTTTAAGGCCGTCTTCTCTTATTTGATTAACCCTGAAGTAATTCTCCACCCGCGCCACATACGAATTCCAGCGTTCCGGGTGGGAAATATCAAAGTCTGACAACCAGCCAATTTTAGACATCTTAATCTTCTACAACCCTCATTAACGCCTTCGCTGCAAGCCTGTTATCTGGGGAAGGGGTCCCTTGGCCGAGCTCACCTCCAGCGATGCTGTACTGGCAGGCAGGGCAGAGTTGCTGTGCTGGACGCCGAACTTCCCAGGACTTCTTGGTAAGTCCTCTCTTCTTTTGTTGTTAAATGTTGCTTACAGCGATCCCACCTTCGTCGCCACTGTTAGATCCGCAGGTTGGAGGCATTAAGAAGAGACGCATAGTGTAACAACAAGTCTTCTTTATTGTTCTATTCCACAACCAGCAACAGAAAAACAGTGTGCAGGCCTTTTTATAGTGTCCTTGCAAAGGACAGCATCAACCAATCATTCCAGAGGCTGTTTCCCGCCTTGCCCATGCACGCAAGGCTGGAGACAGTCAGTCTGGTCCTGGGCAGCTTTTGGTCTGCCCAGGACCCTTTGCAACATTTCTGAGCCTGCTGAATGCTTCAGCAGGCTCAGGACATAACACCTCTCCTTATACCTTCCTACTTAATTTAGTAACTTTTGTCCCCATGATCTGATACTGCTTCCTCCACTGCTGCCATCTTGAAAAAAAAGATGTAGAAACAAAAGTACTTGTATTCTTTTCTTTAATCAAAACAGTCAATTTAGCCATCTCTGCCAGCTCCATCAACTTCTGTAGCTATTCGTCCATAGTGGGAATCGAAATGTCCTTCCATTTTTGTGCATACAGTAATCTTGCTGCCATCAACATATACAGGATCAAAGTTCCAAATCTTTTTCCATTAGACCCAAAAGAAAAAAAAATCTGGTTTCATATTTATTTTTACTTTAAGGATTTTCTGTATCAAAATGTGAATCCTTCTCCAATATTTCTTTGCTTTATCACATGTCCACCATAAATGGTAAAAGGCCCCTTCTTTACCTTTACGTTTCCAGCATTCATTTGAAATGCCTTTATACAGCTTGTCTGGTGTTAAATACCAGCGATACATCATCTTATAGAAATTTTCTTTTAAATTGTAGTTCAATGTAAATTTTAAACTTTTCATCCACATATTCTCCCATTGTTCCAGCATCACATTATAACCAAAGTTCCTTGCCCATTGTATCATACAATGTTTTACATGTTCATTTTCCAAATTTAATTTCAATAGCATTTTATAAGCCTTAGCAATAATATGTTCATCACTGCCACACAATAATGTTTCAAATTCATGTTTAGTAAAATCAAACCCCAAACTCTTTTTATCTAGTTTAAAACTTTCTTTCAGTTGTTGATATGTAAACCAATGACAAACATAACCCTCTGATTCTAACTGTTCCCTCGATTTAAGCGTAGGGTCACCCGAGTTGAAAAGTATTATTTTACCATAGGTCCTCCAGTCCGGTTTCACAACCATTTCTTTTCTTTAAAAAAAGCTTCCTGTGGTGATATCCAAAGAAGCAACTTTGTGAAGAATCTTGTTTTATATTTATTCCATACTCTTAGTATGGCATGTCTAGTAAAGTGATTATTAAAATCAACATTAACTTTATCATACCATAAATAACCGTGCCATCCAAACCTTAGTTCATGACCTTCCAAATCAAGTAGCCTTTTTTCTGGAGGATCACCCACTCTTTTGACCAAGCCAGGCAACATGCTTCTGGAACTTTGTGCTTGAGGTGGAAAAAAATGAAACTTTGATTTTGGGTTTCACTGATTAGATTGATTTGTTGTTACAGAAATGGCCAGTTTATACTATTATGAAAAAGTAAAAAGTTGTGGCTTGATGTTAATGCTTTATTCTACTGCAGCAGAGGAAGTTGGAAAACAACGCCTGTTTTTTCTTTTTCCCCTCTTTCCCTCACTTTCTTTCCCCTTTCTCCTCCCCATTGTGTCCTACTATTTCCTTTGTATTTTACTCTATAATTTACTAAAATGTTATAAAAAGAAAAAAAAGAAAAAAGTTGAAGATGTGACATGTGTATTCAAGATGGACAGTGATTAATATTTATGTTATTTATATGTAAGGCTGTAGGTTTATACGTATGTTGTATATCGCATGTTTAAATGTGTTATGTATGTGTACACTTTGAGAGCAAGAAACTAAATTTCATTTTTAATGTGTGCCAATGTGCGCACAGTAAAAAATGACAATAAAGGTTATCTATCTATCCATCTATCTGTCTGTCTGTCTGTCTGTCTGTCTGTCTATCTATCTCTATGTATCTATCTCTATCTCTATCTCTCTCTATCTACTCTATCACTATCGCTCTTTCTATCTTTATCTCAATCTTTCTATCTCTATATATTTCTATTTCTATATCTTTCTATATCTTCCTATATCTTTCTATCTTTCTATATTTATCTTTCTATCTTTCTATATCTTTCTATCATCTTTCTATATCTTTCTATCATCTATCTATCTATCTATCTATCTATCTATCTATCTATCTATCTATCTATCTATCTATCTATCTATCTATCTATCTATCTATCATCTATCTTTCTATCTTTCTATCTACTATCTTTCTATCATTTATTTTTCTATCTTTCTATCTTCTAACTTTCTATCTATCATCTATCTTTCTATCTTCTATCATCTATCATCCTATCTATCTTCTATCTATCTGTCAGGCACCAAAGAAATGTATCCTCAGTTATTTTAGCTTTGTAGCTTTCTTTGTTGCCTGCCATTCTGTTGGGAGGGGGAGCCTTTGGGGATGCTTTGCACTGTCTGCTTTGTTGCCTTGTTGCCCTTCCCCCAGGGGATGGAATGTCTCACCCTTATCGGAGAGACGGTTTGTGCTTGGAGCCAGAAGAAACCGAAAGTGAGAGAGACCTTGAAGACCCCACCGAAAAGACTGGTTACCAAAACATGATGCCACCTGTGGATTGGCTGGGATTCAAATGAACACTGGGACACTGGGGGGGAGGAGTATTGAATGCTACTTTTAATATATCGCTTCACGGGTTTTTCTCTCAGATCTCGCCTTTCCCTGCTGTCACTAGCCCCTAATAAAAGTTTCCATTTGAGACAATGCTTGTTTCAAGAGTTCTGCTTTCTTGGATGGCTTAGCTGAGGTAGGTCCTTACATAAGGCGAGATTTGCATAGTGCCCAGCCCAGAGATGCAGCTGCCCTACCGAGGTGGGTCGCAACCGACATGCCCCTACCTACCGGCGATATGGAAGAGGGTGCACTGGAGAGCTGGAGCGAAGATATCATCCTGGCAGACCCCGGGGAAGGAACTTTGTCACTGTGTAAGAAATTTTATGAACTGGAATAGCCATAGCAACAAACCAGCCAATGAGAACTGTTTTTGATTAAGACACAGTATTGGCTGTGTGAGGCATGTAATCCAGCCTAGGTCTGGGCATGTCTTAGTCTTCTCTGGTTTTTTTTCTGATCTCCAAGTTAAGAGTTGTTGATGTTCCCCAGAGCTGAATGAAAATGTATGTATCATGTTTATATATATTTTTATAGATAAAAGTTTTTCTAAATTATGCCTCCTGCTCATTTTGAATGTGTGCTTATTTTTGGGGCTTATTTTTGCACTGGAAAGCTGTAAAAATCTAACAGGTTATGGGCCCAGATCCCAGCCAGCCCTTGCACACAGTTCAGACTGAAGAAAGAGATTGAGGCTCAACACGGAGCTGTAATTAAGCTGAAGGACTGTCTGAGTTAAATAAACAAGAAAAAGGCTTGCAGGATGGCTGATTTAAAGGAGAGCTCTGTGCCTCGATTGGGACAAAATAATTATCTTATTTGGGCTGTGATAGAAGTAAAAGAAAGGTCTTCAAAATTTAATATTGAAAGAGAAATTTAAAATTGAATTTGCTGCAGTGGAAATTTACTGAGTAGAGAAGCTATGGTGGGAAAGAGGAAAGGTTAACATAAAGAAAGGATGTAAAGGAAATATGTAGGCAAAAATAGCTGGGTCTTAAGAGTGGGAAAAGAAAGAAGAAAACATCTGTAATAGAAGATAACTAGCAAAACAGGAAAGAACCTATTTTTCTAAGAAGTCATAAAAAAGGGGGCCAGAACTCAGGCAACTGAGCATGCGCAATTAATTGATTAATATTAACTGACACACCTTGCATAAATTATCTCCTAATTTTAATGTACATGTGATGTATGATTTAGTATGTAGCAGGAAATATGTAGGAGGTGGTCGGAAAGAGTGTAACCTCATAGTACCTCAGCCAATGGGGAAAGAGGAGGGATGTGGTGGCTGGGACAAGGCATGTATAAAGAAGGAAATATTTTGGGTTAAAACTTTGGAGAGAACCAAGCTTTGATAGCTTCTCTCCCCGCTTATTGCAATAAACGAAACAAAAGGCCTTCACTGTGTCTTAGCTGGTTATTGGTCAGGCGAGCTTGCCTCTGGTCACGAAGGAAAGTAGCCAGGAGCACATAACAGGCTGCAAAAATGGAATGCTTCCTGAAGGCTAAGGAGCACTGGGATATTGTGATTAATCCACCCCAGGGGCAATTAGCAGCTGCAGATCAACAGAGGCATGATAAGGCACTGGCTTACATCATCTTAAGTGTGGAAGATGAACAATTCTTAAATGTAGCTGACTTAAAAACTGCAAAAGAAGTTTGGTTGAAGTTGAAAAGCGTGCATGTGAGTGAGTCAGCATGCAATATAGTGCAATTATTGAGGCAATTGTACAGAGCCTGGCTGCTTCCACAAGAGAGCATAGAAGAGCATTTGTTCCACATGCAGAAACTGTTGAATTAGAACAGCAGGGAATGCAGATTCCTGAATCTCAGAAGGTGCTGTTGGTACTAAATAGTCTTGATGAAACGTGGGCCATCGTTTCAGCTGTATTTGAATGTAGACCAGAACAGGAATTCAGTATGGAAGCACTTAAAGCCTGTTTGATTTCTGAGGAACAGAAACACCATTTTAGAAGAAGCCATGAGGAGAAATTCCTGAGGTGGGGGTCCAAGGAGCAGAGAGAGCAAAGCAGCAGACTGCCTGTGTGCAGAGATCGGATTACATCTCAGCAAAGAATTACCAAGAAGAAAGAACAGGAGAAAAAGACATGCTTTATCTGTGGGGCTGAAACTCATTTAAAGAAAAACTGTTTACAAGGAAGAAAAGCAGAAAATGGACAAGCTGCTGTTGCAAAAGTTAGCTATTGTAATAGCATAGACAAATGGTTAATAGACAGTGGGGCTAGTCAAACAATTGTTAATAATTCTTTTTTTTTAAACAAATATTTTATTGAGTTTTTTAAGGGTAACAAGGGAATAGGGTCAACA